GCAGCTTGTGTGGCTTGCCCAGTCTGGTGACCAGCGTTCACATTCGAACAGCCAGGGGGAGAGGATGATTTATTTTTCTCTTTATTATTTTTAGGCGATGGCGCTTGATTAGAATGAGTGGCGGCCCTGGGCGGAGATAGCCTTGCCTCTTCAGCGTAGCTTAAAACGGAAGGAATTGCCGGCTTGTTTGTAACTATTTTGTTACCAACCGACTCAACAATATCGGAAACATTAATGCTCATGTTAGAGTTAGAGGGAGCTTGTACCAACGAATCAGATTTAGGTGACGTCCTACACCTACGCTACGAGTAGTTATTTTTCTGGCTTGCGTAGAAGATGAGTACTCAATAAAACGGCACTCATCAAACCTAGACTTAATTAGCTCAAACTTCTCCCACAAAGAGCCTAGATTTCTAATCAATTCCGAAAAACCATTCCGCGTCTCCGTGAAAAGTTTGTAAAAATCAATGTCCCGCTGCCTACAGTCAGGACATCAGCGTCTTAAGCCTTTGGAAGGGTCAGCGACTGCGTCAGCAACACGGCCGAGAATACCGGCACACTTTGCATGACCAAAGCGCTCGCAGAGCCAACAAGAAACGAATCTATCCCATCCCGGACCTGTTTTTGCGGGACATGGTGTATATAATCACTCCATGTCAAGCCAACGAAAAGAAAGAAGTGAATTATTAGGACAAAAGAGAAAAAAAATACAAAAGAATTCACTACCCTAAGTTTATCTACAAGTTTAAGAAATTTAATAAAACTTCTCCGTTACGTTGTCACTGCAACAAGAGAGCAAAAGAACAAGAGAAGGCAAAACCAAACTGGAAGCACGAAAAAAAGAGAGAATACAAATCAGAAAAATTATAAATTACACGTAAAATCTACACTACTGAAGCAAGGGTAAATGAGCCAAGAGGAAAGCTATTAACACCAAACGAAGAAAATAAAAAAAGAAAAAAACTCAAAAGAAAAAACCAGAAAAGACTCGAAAGAGATTTACTATCGCGATCACAAGTGCTAATCGCAAGAACCAAATTGAAAATCACAAAAATTTGAATGTAATTAATGTAATTCTTACACTTTACACGTTCAATCCTTTTATACTTTTACAAATACCCAGCTTTAAACGCGTATAAAACGAAAACAAAAAAATTGTAAGCAATAAAACTAACAAAAGCGTACGATCTCGCGTGCATCAGTTCCCAGACTGATAGCCGAGTTCTTTTTTTTCCGAAACTCCACGACATCATGTAATGATAATGCGTAGGTCCAAGGTCGATTGAAGCAATTGTAACACGATTTTTTCCAGAAACTGCCTTCGTGGTCAAACAATCAACGTGGAGCAGAAGATATATCCAGCGTCTAGCTTAAATCCAACTTTGGTGCTTTGCGGCTGAATTTATAATTTCCAAGAAGACAAATTCTTCAAATTCTTCCTATTTCCAATATTTTTGAGATAGAATAGCAGAGGGATTGGACAGAAAAAAATTCGGGAAAAGCTGCAGTCGGAATAATACCGAGACCACACTTCTCCAAAATGGTTACGAATCTCACGTGCTTCGATTAATGTAGTTTATTTATTCTGTCTCATGCAATCGTCATTGAATTGTTGGCTGTGTATCAATTCTTCCCGAGTTTTATTCATAGCTTAGAGAAAGAGAAAGACAGAGGTAGTTGATTTTTCTAATTCTTTCCGACATTAAGCGTTACCTTGTTTGTACAATAAGATATTAGTATAATCAGGGTATTCCATGAGAAGTCTATTTTATTTGTTCTTAGCAAGACTAGCTTGCTGTTTTATCAAAGAAGGAGTGCGCGTTTAAGATGATTCGTAGATTAAGTTGTGAAGAGATTGGTAACAAGACAGATAGCCTTAGTCATAGTAGCATCTCTGCAGTTACTGTTGAAATGTTCACTATTTAGAATCTTCGCGATCTGCTCAAAATAATTAAAGCAATTAGCTTTGGCCAGTAGAAATTTTGTGCGTGTTGATGGAATATCAGAAGTGTTTGACAACCGTAGATTGATAACGATTAGGAAATGGTCACTATTACGAAGATCATCAGACATGAACCACAAATATTAAGAAGGGGGCGAGAGCTTAGTAAATTATTTGTTTAAGTTTATTTCGGCAGTTATAGTTTGGATACTTGAGTTTACATTGACGCGTCTATATACGATCTAAAATTGAATAAGGTTACTAACTTCCTATTTCGAGAATGAATGTTCATCAGCATTTACAAAGTATCCAATACGTAACGTAAACGGGTTAGGGTTGGATTAAAAGGAGCTTTGCGACCGGATTCTTCAAGAGAGATAAAGCTAAGGTTAAAATCTCTTACTAGAGATTTAGTGTTGTTTGTAAAATTTTAAAGTGCTTCATTTTGCATAGAGCGATTAAGTCAACATGCAAGCATCGACACTATTGATGTTATTGTTGTGAAGTTGTGGTTTCAATATTCAGTGATAAATTCATCTACCTTACCAAATAAAGAATCAAGACTGCTATTATTGTGCTCGTTATTTTTGATTTTTTATATTTGTTTGAATAAAGTTGCACTGAGAGAAGGTTGAAGGTTTAACGAGTTGCTTGGAGGAATTAGTTGGTGTTGAAAGTAGCCGTGTCTTTGATATTCAATTTGTTTAGCTGAGTGTTATTCGATGCTGTTATGGTTAAATTTGAGGTTGATTGCTTTTTTTGTGAGAATTATGACACGATCACAACAAATGTACCGACTCTGCTAGAGGCGAAAGGCTTTAATTCTTAATGTCCACTTACTTACCTCCTGCTACAAAAGTTTTCCATCTTGATTTTCAATATTTCCTACATTTGTAAATATGAAGCAAAATCTTTCTCCAAGGTCGAGTGACGGTCATTGCAGTTGATGCAGATAGCACGAGAACATTTCTAAACGTTACGTTAGGGCGGTCCACAGTTAGTACATCGTGGACCGCTTCTACATCTTTCTTATTTGCAAATGAGCATGGTATCGACATTAAATTGTGTTTTAATATAATCCGAACAAATTTATTGTCTATTAAAGGAGTGTTATTTGCTGGCAATGATGGGAAGCGTTACTTTTTTTAGTTTTTTTAGTCTGTGGATCCAATAAAATCAGGAATGTTGGTGCTCTTATCCCGTAACTTCTGAGTGATAACGTGAGTAACATTTTGCTCACTAACTTTCAAAGTGTTGAAGACACTTACCAGTTCAAAAAAAAAAAAAAAGAATGTATACTGAGATTTCTTTTTTATGCTACCAGGGCACCCTAAAATAGCAAAAGCAAAAACATCGCAGCCACGATTCTTACTAATTAAACTGCAACGGCGTCCAAAAAAGAACAACAAGGGCATATGTTGTATTCATTCCACATCAAGTTTAAAAATTAGTATTTCTTGTTGTACATTATTGTGCACTTTCGTCAAATTTTAAAGTAATGCAAAACCAGATGGAATGACAGTTAAATTTAAGCCGGCATGCTGGCGACGGGGCAGCGGCCGAAAAAGTGTTACAACACAGCGTGGTGACTGTTATCTAATCGCAACGTCACTATATAATCGTCGGTTGAATGTAATTTAACTCCAAGAAATTAGAGAAGCGGAAGTCAGTCGATGGACAATTAGAAGAAAACTAGCCTAAGGAAGACTGACAGCGCGCAGATCAGCAACGTACACGAAATGAACCCCAACCAACCGACAAGCAAGTCTTCAATTCGCTCGACTCCATGGGAATTGGACTATGGATCAATGGAACGTAGTACTACTTTTTTCTGACGAGTTCAAGATGTGCCTTCAGAGTAACGATGGACGGGAAATAGTCTACCAAAGATCCGGTGAGCGTTTCACACAATGCTACATGTCTCAAATGGCGGTGACTCGTACATGTTTGAGGGAGGCATGTTACTGGAAGCGAAAACCGAACTTATGTTCATAACAGGGCTCAAAACCGACTGTCAATCAAGCGGATTGACTTTCTGACGGTACGTGGAAAAAGTCCTGAAATTGGGAAAGCTTCATTTTCATATATGAAAACGTAAGTCCACGTACCGTTGCCGTAGTGCGCCACTACTTGGAGGAAATTGATGTGCCAGTTATCAATCCCAGATCTCAATCCCATTATGCACCTATGGGACAAGCTTAAAAAACGAAGCAATTTCCGCTATTTTTATTGTGTTATTGCTTATATAATGATACCAAAGGTCCAAGGTAAGCTCTATGTATTCCTAAAAAGTTAACTGGCTGCACTTTAGTTTAGTTTAAATTACGTTCGCAACCTAAATTTAGTTTAATAAATATTTAGGTTCTTTGCAAAGACGTAAATGGTGTGCGATTTTTAGGCTCACGAGTTTAGATTGAAGGTGGCTTTCATCTAATCTGGTCGTGTCTTTTGCCATTTAAGTGGTATCTTAAGCTGCCTTATTAAGAGAACACATCGGAATCGATACAATGGTACAATGTTTTACAATTTCTCGTAAAACAAGTAATGACATTACATACTCTACATCACTTCGCCAAGTGTAGCTAATGAGTCTTTTTTGGTTACAATACAAAAACTTATAGACTGTTTTTACGGAAAGCCATACTTTTCCTGAAAGCCCGTCTATTGGAAAGCGCCCGGAACACTTGCTACAAATATCTTTATATTTCATTTTCGGTCTTAGTCTTTCACCCCATATAGGTGCTTGCCTTTCATGATAACCACTGTCTATATTAGAACCTAAAAACTAGACCTGTGGGATCCAAATTCCCTAACGTTAATTTTAAATTTACCCTACTGCGTACCTAGCAGTAGAGTATAAAAATAACAAACTTGCAATAGTAAATAAAATTTCGATTAATCTTTTTTGCGCTTACTTATTTGTAGATTGCTTTTTCAAAAAGAGCAATATGGCTGCAAAGTCTCTTAATAGTAACATATAATACATTCTCTTAAAAATCGACAGAGTAGTGTCTGTTGTTAATTAATACAATTTATACAATTTCTCGTTGTCAGTTGAACTGATGCTGGTGTAAGGCTCAAAAGTTTATCTCATGTTACGCTTGATAGGCAACCAGATCGTTGAATACGTGCAAATATAACAAATTAAAGGTTTTTTCAAGAATGCCCAGTAAGATCAAGTTTTAGTTAAAAAAAACTGAATATTTAATATTTTTTAATATTTATTCGAAGACACAAGTGCCGATGTGACAATTAATAAGATCTTGCTTACGAGTTTGGCTGCAGGCACAGCCGCCATTACAGGAATCTTAACATATGTATATTATCGCAAATATGTTAGACGAGATGTAATGCCAGTAAAATGGCGCCCTGTTGGTACATTGCAACAAATCAATATTTTCCCGATCAAATCATGTGGAGCATTAAAACTGAATGCCGATGAATTTATAGAATGCAACGTCCTAGGTTTGCGCTTGCTAAGCGTTTTAGATCGTGCTTTAATGGTCGTTAGCGACAAAAACGAAATGATTACGGCTCGTAAATACCCGAAAATGGTATTAATTCATACGAAATTAGTGGGTAATACTATTTTGCATATTACTGCACCTGGAATGGATACGCTGGAATTGGATTATGCTTATCTAAGCGAATCAACACTCGGCAAAGATATTCATACTTCAGTGTGGGATAGTAAAGTCGATGCCATGTTATGCGGAGATAAATATGATCAATGGTTCTCTTACTATATATTAGGAAAGGAGAGGGGTTTAAAGTTAGTATATTATCCTTATCCAATGCCGATCAGGAATACAGTTTCCCGTCTAACCAAGGAGCCGTATTTACAACCAGAAGATACGGTAAATCAGATTTATCCAAAGTAAAGCGATAATGAGAAATAATTATAGAAAATTTGTAGGGAACCTTTGGTGATGCCACAAGTTATATGTTAATGAATTTATCTTCAATCGATGATCTAAATACTCGCATACCTCGGCCTGTAGATGCTTTACAGTTTCGTGGTAATTTTCATCTGAAAATGTATAAAAGCCAAGCTTACGTTGAAGATAAATGGCAATGGATACGTATAGGAGATGCGGCCATTTTTCGCGTGGTAGCTCCCTGTACACGTTGCATATTTCCAAATATTAATGCTGTAACTGGTGAACGCGATCCGGAAGGAGAACCGTTGAAAACCTTAACTAAGTAAATAATTTTAAAAATTTATACAAAACAATGGAGAACATTTTATTCATCTCTTTAGATACCGAATGGTTACACGTTATAGCAGTCCAGCTTTGGGAATCCATTTGGGTTTACGTAGGGCCGGTGCGGTTAAAGTCCATGATGTTATTTACGTAGAAGACGAAAATGAGTGAATTTGGGAAATATTCGTATAATTTCATACACATATAGATATCCATATATATATATATATAGATGCCTGTGTGATTTATATATAAATTATTATTAAATATAAACTCGATGTATTGACATAAACCGTTAAGACCTTAATATATGCATAGAAAGCATTCTATATAAAATGGAAAGACGTTATCGATAGCCTCATTTTTGGTTTGAAACGTAATCTTTAGATGTTTTAGAGTTGACGTATGAAAAAAATCTTTCTAAAAGAATAATACCATTTGCTTAATATGCAAAATAATCATCTGTTCAAACATACAATAAACCTGCGTTCATTGCTTTATTAGCAAACTCTTATACGACCGCTCCACCACTACGCATTTGATAATTTCACTTCAGTCAATTCGGTTTTTAATAACAAAAATATTGAAATCAAAATCTTTACTATTCTGAGTTTTGGTAAGCAACCTATTAATGGGTTCGAATAACAGCTATGGTAAATGTACAATTTCTATTGTCACTACGCCAAGTCAACTCGATAAGAACGATGTTAATGCTTTCGAAAACATTAGTTGTTTGTATTCTTAAAAATTGCAAAATACTTATGAAAAAAAAAAACACTTGAGGCAAATCTTACCTTCAAAGAGGTTGAACTGTTAGGATAACTCAGGCACCATTAAACATTACTTCAAATGAAATCATGTTGTAAAGAAAACTAATCCAAAGAAGTTTAAATGCAAATAGATGCATAGCAGTGAGTCGCTCGAAAATGTCTTGGTTATATGTTACGGACGGCTACAAGAGACCGAAGAATTGAAGTTTGCATCGACTCCAGTTAAAGATCACACACAGTGGATGGCACTTCAATAATTATTGCGCTTTTGCAATTGCTACAGTTATGTCGTAGTTAATCATGACGGTGAATCAATTTAATAAAAGTAAATGTTCATTTGAAAACTTCTTTTTTTTTTTTTTTTTTGGTTCTCCCGATGTTTTCATAACAATGTCAATTTTATGCAAAAGTATTATCAAAGAGAGAACTATAGCAACAATGATGTTATATGTTGGTAATTTAGTGAAAGATCATTTAAAAATTTGTACAAAACAATGGAAAATATTTTATTCATTTTCTTAGATACCGAATGGTTTCGCGTTATAGCAGTCCAGCTTCAAGAATCCATTTGGGTTTACGTGAGGCCGGCGCGGTTAAAGTGAATGATGTTATTTACGGAGAAGACGAAAATGAGTAAATTTGGGAAATATTCGCATAATTTTTTTATTACTTTACATATATTTATGTATATATATATATAGATATCCAGATGATGATAATATATATATGCCACACATAGATATCTATATATACATATATATTTTATCAATCACCTTGAAAATTCCATTCAGTTTCAACCATAATAATAATAAGATTGGGAAAATTTAAATTTTGGAGAAAAAGGGCAATAAAAATAGAAAAAAAAACAAAATTAATCTTTATACAGAATAAAAAATTAAAATCGCTGACGATGTTATCATAAGATCACACTTTGGCCGAAAATCTAAAAAGCAAGGAAACAAAGTAATCCATCGTGTATACATATATGGATGTATATAGATTTAACATGCGATAATTATCAATAATATACATGTGTGTGTAAAAAAATCTGCAGACGGTCATAACGACGTGTTTATAAATGCACGATCCGAGTTATTTCTGTCTGCAACCTTGCCAAGCCAGACCACCACATATCATGCTCGTTATTACGTATATAATAAAAATGACAATCAGACCCAATACTACATAGAGTCGTACATTCTTCCAAAACATTTGACGGGCGAGATTGCGCGACGCTTTACGGAATGCAACAGCCTATTATAGAACAAAAACATGATAAACAATTAACCTTCAAAGATCAAAAACATTTACAAGCACTTACATTATTGCTTAAGTTTTCAGTTTTATTTACAAGTAACTCCAATTTTTCCCCTCGGTCCCTAAGATTATCTGTAATAAAACATTTTAAATAAAGAAAGGTCTTACAAATATATATTGCAACGGTACACCAACCAATATTTTTAACCATAATATCTTTTAATTCATCAATCTGTCCATGAACTTTCGATATAGCGTCTACTTCCCGTGACTGGCTAAAAAAATTCATCTGATCGGCCAAAATTTTAGAGAATTCTGTGTTCATTGCAAAGGCGAGGGCAGTGGCAACTTGTAACCCATATGTTTGTATAAACTTTTGTTTGATATCCGTCAAAAATAGAAATGCGCGTGCTCGTTCAAATTCCTAAAATTATCAAACACAAAATAAAAAACGGTTCCATAAATTACTGACGAAGGTTTGCTTACGTCGTCAGTTATACACATGTAGATGAGCTTGTTTTCGCAAACGTAATGTATGAGATAGTCGCCGTGAGAATATGTCAGTTTATGATTTTCTAGAGTGATTTTGGATATAATTTGATCAGTAACTTCAGCAAAATTCCCAACGCATTCAGCATATTTGGCCAAGACAGTGGTGCCACGCGATATAACTGAATATAAGATCGGCATGCTGACGACACCAAGGCCTTTACTTGTTTCAAAAAGAAGTCTGTAACAAATCTCCAATCGAATGTTGTACTGTCTCCACACTCGCACTTTCTTTAACTGCTTTTAAGCCTTAATGTTCGGTTTGAGACTGTAATTTCGTATGTATATACATATATATGTGGTTAATTTGTAACGTAGCTAGTTGTATATAAATTTTGTCATATCGTTTACACCATCAGAAGTACGCATCAGAGGCCTTACAAAATATATTTATTCTTCATGCGTGATAACTTCTAGATCAACTTGTTTATGTACATACGTCCATTGGCGGATATCTTAAAATAAAATAATATCAACGTAAAAGGCTACGGATTAACATGTATTTTTTTATTTTCTGGAAAGTTAAGAAAAAATTCCAGAATTTCCACTTAACGTTTTATAATAGAGCAGATCTGATTTATATATATATTAAAATCGATCACAAGGTGTAGATATCATCGAAATTAACCCATAAGAATGGGCTGAAGACAAATACTGTCGCCTAATCTGCAACTGTCCCGATTAATTACCCTTAACTCTTCGGGCTTTTTTATTTCATGTTTATTGATAAAGAAAACTTATTGCAAGCAAGAAGAATAAATTTCTTACAAAACTTACAAATACTTTTTTGTGTTTAGCAATCAGTCAATTTACAACAACTTCATGTAGCTTTTGTTTTAAATTTTTTTAATGAATTTTTTTATTGTATTGATAATTAATTATTTATGCAGGTTATCGTAATGCATACTTCTTTGTAAATTTTAATATTCACAGTTAGTTAATGTTATCAATCTTTCTTCTTCAGATGACATTCAATTTTTTACTGTTATTAATGTATTCTATATTTTGTTAAAAATGCATCCAAGTTGATAATATTTCCAAATGATTAGATTAAAGAGATGCCAAGCTACCGTAAGTTAATATTCTGTAGTAAGGGTTGCTACATAAAAAACGATTCTTATTAATTAAAAAAGTTTATTTGCGATGGCTTATAAAAATGTTATTTTATGAAAATAACTATTTTTGGCAAATCAGGGATAATGCCACGTTCCTATTTAAAAGATAAAATAAACAATTTTACTTTAAATGCAGGATTTTGCATACACTGTCTTCATATATTCATTGCTCACCACTATGTTACTGGTGCTTTTGCCAAACACTGTATAGAGTTGGGATAACGTGATTGATGAAAATGATATAGCACTCATATAGAATTACCATTTCTAAGCTGACTCCATATAAGAAAACGTAAGATAACATAACAGCATAAGTAATAGTAATGTAAGAGAACTTCTGCTTTTCTTAAGGTAGAACATAAATAAATAAATTTACTAAATAAGTTACTAACTTCAGAGGCAAGTAAACAACAAAAAGTTTTTATTTTTATTTATACTTATGTGACATATATCTTGGGGTACTTTTTTTACTTTGCTGCCTCTGTTATAAAAATACTTATTTTCATTTTCCCCTCCAAATCCCAGTTTAGTATAGAAAGTTTTTCGCTGCTTATTCTAGCTTGATTGTTTTCAATCGGAAAGCAGAGTTTGGCATCATTTAACACTAACAACAAGACAGTAGTTGATGTTGGTTTTCAATTGTATATAAATATAGTCATTAATTTCATTGGGAATCTTTTTTTGCAACGAACATCCAAATGGTTCTTGCAAACGTTTGAGAAGCAATTTCTCCGAAGAATCCCTTCATCACCTCAAAAGTGCTAGGTACAAATGTGAACAATTTTGCCGTTTTTTGGAGGCTTCCCAATTTCTAACCTATTTTAGGCGTGTATGACGGCAGATCGCAACCTTTTTTTAAGCTTGGGCTCTCAAACGATCAAGAAATATTTGTGACAAATTTCAGCTTATCTCCATTTTTGCGACTTTGGCGATTTGCCAAAGATGATGGGTCAAATGATCCATTTTAGAAACAGGTTTATGCAAAACATGAGTAATTTTAATGCTAAATGGTTCGTTTAAAACACAAAACCTTAAATTATGAAAATCTTAAATGTTTTCAAAATCGATGTATTGATATAAACCGTTAAGATCTTAATATATGCACAGAGAGCATTCTATATAAAATTTTTAGTTTGGAGCATAATCTTTAGATGTTTTTAGAGTTGACGTATGAAAAAAATCTTTCTAAAAGAATAATACCATTTATTTAATATGCAAAATAATCATCTGTTCAAACATACAGTAAACCTGCGTTCATTACTTTATTAGCAAACTCTTATACGACCGCTCCACCACTACGCATTTGATAATTTCACTTCAGTCAATTCGGTTTTTAATAACAAAAATATTGAAATCAAAATCTTTACTATTCCGAGTTTTGGTAAGCAACCTATTAATGGGTTCGAATAACAGCTATGGTAGATGTACGATTTCTATTGTCATTGATGTTATATGACGTTAATTTAATGAAAGATCATTGAAAAATTTACTATTGACGTAGTGAAGTGGGAAGATATCACAAAAATAAATAGCGAAGTTTTGGTTTTTATGACTCAGGTGCGAAATTATGCTTTTTTGTGTGTTTGTGCAACATTTACGAAAATTTACGTTACGAAATATATATTATTGTATTATCAACAAAAATGTTGAAATTTTTGAAATTGCTTTCTTATGTGTTAAAATATTTAAAATTCAAAATGACAAATAGTATAGCGTAGTTACATAAAAATGTACACATTGATACCACATTCAAACATACGATTTTGAAAACAAACGGTGAGTGTTTGAAATTTGGCTATGAGTGAACAATGCATCCCAAATAAACACCATTATGATTTTCTAGAAGAAAGCAGAATTTAAAAATCCAAACCATATATGTAATGGACACCAAAAAACTCTATATATTCTTGATAAAAGAATGCGAAGGGTGTTATAATCAAATATTTGCTTAAGCACTTCGATAATATGAAATTTATGTGCTCTTTACACATGAGTAAAATTGGATTTTTGGTGACTCACTCAAAGTATTTTTTAGAAACGAAGATTTTCTTTTCTTCCAATTAATTATATAAATTCTCGTGCAAAATGTAAAATATTATTTAACAGCCCTGTTTTCTCACAACAATATTTACAACTCTGAACCTCTCTCTAACTAGAAGATTTGCAAGTTTCCTTAGTTGTTCACACGGAGGTTTTCTTAGTTATATGTTAAAGTTTGAGTCTTTGACGCGCTTACTGTGGACGCTTGGCTTTGTTTTCTTCTATATTGCTACAGGACAGCCCAAACGCTTTACCACGATTTTCCTCGGACGTTCAAAGATTTCTATTTCAAATAGCATCCCTAAACGTCGAATTGCTGCTAACCATACATCTTCTATCTTTAAATCTGCTGAGTAAAAAAAAGTACATATATATATAAGATTTAAACACAGTGAACATTTCTGCAACATGAATAACAACGCGATTGTGAATGGTACGGATTCACCAGGTTCGGCTTCAGGAGATAAGCGCGATTTATTAGCCTTGCTGAAGCTGATTAAAAAATACAACCTTAAGCAAACAGAAGAATTGTTATGCCAAGAAGCAAATATACGGTCAGAAGAACTTGAAGATTTAGATGATAAAGAAATCAGCTCTTTACTTACCTCTGCTTTAGGGGACAATCAAGAGAATAACGCCTCTGGTACCACCATACACGCCGGTTCAGAAAATGACCCAGAATTTTACGACACTGTTTACGGTGAATTGCGTAATTTTGTTGATGAATCTTTGGATATCTATAAACATGAACTTTTCATGGTGTTATACCCAATTTTGGTGCAAATCTATTTTAAACTGGTGTCAACTGGTTATGCAAAACCAGCCCGCGATTTCGTTGAAAAGTATGGTCCAGATTTGGATTATTATTATCGTGAAGATCTGCAGAATCTGCTTTTAATTACGAAACGCTCGGATTTGGAAAATAATGACTTTGTTACTGCTATGGAAACAGACAAGTTTATCATACGTATGTCGAGAGATGCACATTCATTGTTTAAAAGACATATTCAAGACCGCAAGCAGGAGTTAATAGCTGATATTGTAGCCAAATACCTTCATTTTGATACCTACGAAGGTACAGCACGCAGTAAAGCGCAGTGCGATGCTACTGCCGGTTCATTGATTGGAGAAGCCAGACGCCAAGATAATAAGATTCGTGTATATTATGGCCTTTTGAAGGAGGTGGATTTTCAGTCGTTAACGACTCCTGCACCTTCTGTTGTTGAAGAGGAAGATGACAACGATCCGGACGCTCCTGACAAGCCTAAAAAAAAAAAACCTAAAAAAGATCCTCTTTTTTCCAAAAAATCAAAATCTGATCCCAATGCTCCCGCAATGGATCGGATACCACTACCAGAGTTAAAAGATGCAGACAAACTCGAAAAACTTAAGGCTTTGAGGGAAGCTTCAAAACGCGTACCACTCAATAAAGATTCACTGCCTTCTGTGTGTTTATATACCATACTCAATTCGTACCACAGCGTTACGTGCGCAGAAATATCTGAAGACTCTTACATGATGGCTGTGGGTTTCACAGACTCCAGCATTAAGGTATGGTCGCTGACGCCCGCTAAATTGCGGGAGATGAAAACGGCTGAGCACTTGAAAGATATAGATAAAGATGCGGAGGATGTCTTAGTACGTATGATGGATGATCGTACAGGTGAGGCAGCTCGCACATTTTACGGCCACAGCGGACCAGTCTACCGTTGCGCTTTTGCACCTGAGAAAAATATGTTGCTTTCCTGCTCAGAAGACACTACTATTCGGTTGTGGTCTTTACATACCTGGACTTGCATAGTGGTGTTCAAAGGACACCTCTTTCCTGTATGGGATGTTCGATTTTCACCACATGGGTATTATTTTGCTTCCTGCTCATATGACAAAACAGCCCGTTTATGGGCCACTGATTCCAATCAGCCGTTACGTATATTTACGGGCCATCTCTCCGATGTAGATTGCGTACAGTTTCATCCCAATTCCAATTATATAGCTAGCGGCTCCAGCGACCGTACAATACGGCTGTGGGACGTCTTAAATGGCCAATTGGTGCGCTTGATGACAGGTCACAAGGGATCAATCTATGCGTTGGCTTTTTCTACTTGCGGTCGTTACTTGGCGTCTGGTTCTTCAGACCATACCGTGCTAATATATGATTTATCTCATGGCCAATTGGTCACCTCATTGGTACGACATACTGGTTCTATACACACAATGTGCTTCAGCCGAGATGGTACAATCTTAGCGATTGGTGGTCTGGATTGTTATCTAACACTATGGGACTTCTCCAAACTTGCCGAAGATTATATAGCACAAAATTCCAATGCGTCGCATAACCCGGAAATCAATGAAGGTGACACATATTTGTTGCGCGCTTTTCCCACCAAATGTACACCATTTTTAACTTTGCACTTTACAAGAAGAAATCTACTGTTGGCAGTCGGCACATTTAAAGCATAAGTCAAAATATACAATTATCATAGATTATAAGATATTCCAATAAAACACCCATTCAATTTAAAAGAAGTTATTTTATTAATTACTGTATTCCATGGGCACACATTCTTCAGCTGCTACATGAGTAGGCGATCCTCCATCAATTAGTTGCTCATTGGGTTCACTATCTAACGAGGGTTCATTACTAAACATTTCAACAGGTACTGTAGCTGGTGCTCTCTCTGGTATCATATCCATTATAGGACGTTTGGATAACTGTCGCTCAAGTTCGCTTGAACTTATATGTTGCGTTGTAATGAGTTGTTGTCGTTGTGGCAGCGGCTCGTCTGACTGTTGAGAAGCAGCGGTAGATTTTTCAATATTCACATCGTTATTAGTAGGCGGTAGAACAACTTTCTTTTTTCGTCCTCTAGTAGAGCCAACGGTTGTGCCGTTCGCGTTTGGTTCCAATTTTCTCCTTCGACGGAATTATGATAAATATTTAATTAGTAATAAACATGAAATTGATAAAATACCTTTTTGTTTCTTTTGTGATATCATCTTCAGAAGATTCCTCCGTTTCATCACTTTCGGAAGAAGAATTCTCGGGTTTTTCATATTGAAGTAAACGATCCAATAAAAATGCACGATCTCTGGATACTTTCAGCAAGCGGCGCTGGTTAGAGCGCAAGGCGTCTTGAAAAAATTCGTTCTCCTATTGAATACATTTAATAAACAGAAGTCTTCGGTAAAAAATTTAACTAGATGCTTACGTAAATGAGAAACTTGAGTTTCTTTTTTAGATAACGGTATTGGGCTTTATAATCGACCGCCGCATTAGAAGATCTTGGCTGAATTCCATCATTATATTGGCTATCGCTCTCAGTGTCATCGTTTTCCTCATTCGGATCGGTGTGATCATTTTGTTGACTGGCCGTGGCCTGTTCGTTGGCCAATGTACGACAATACCAGCCGTCCAGCATGAAAAATTTACAAAAATCAAGCAATTTCAGGCTTTTTTTTTTGGACGTTGAGTTAAGATGGACCAAGCCAATAAATATGTGGCTTATATGTCCAGAAAATAGCAGTAGTAATTATTCGCAAGAAATTTATATAAAAAACAGCAAAAAAATACAGCCCTGATAGCTAATGCCAATATGTTAAGTATAATTGTAGATTGTTGAGTTGTTGAAAGTGATGTAAACGAAAAGTGTTGCAAACTTTGGGTGAAAACAAAAAAGCAATGTAGTGATAAAAGATGATTAAACGTAAAAAACAAAAAAAAAAAATTGTCAGGTATTAAAAAGATAAAATTGCTTTTCTATTATTATTATTATTATTAATATTATAATTTTAGACTAATGAAATAAATTCTTAGGCTAAAAAAAATACATTGAGCACTAGCAACACAGCCTATCGGCTCTAATTTAAATAAATGTACATAAGATAATGAGCTTAGTAGTATTAATAAAGTAATATATTGAATTGATATTCTGTTCTGAAGCTGATTGTAGAATGTCCAAAGGGTTAATCGTTCCATCCTAAGAAAGGTTAAGGCAGTCGCAGGGAATGTGCTTTATAGTGAGAGTTCGTCCACAACTGCAGATTGGGGAGGAAGGCTTCTCAAGATCCATTGGTGAGTTGCAATTGTTTGACCAAGGCGAATTCTCGAATATGTTTGGATCTTGGTTTTCTCAACATTTGTTGGATATCACGTTCCTATTCTATGCAAGAAATATTTCAATTTTTTTAGTGTATTTCTTAGCTTTTTTGCTTTATTGGTGTTTAATTTTAAAATTTCTCTTAAAGAATAAAGTGTGAATTTATCCTATGTGAATTTATTAACCATTTATGCGAAAAAATCATTTTGGTTTAGTGTAATCAACAATTGAGCTCTTAGTAAAAGTCTTTCTTTTTGCCCGTTAATCTTTGTTTACAGTTTCTTTAGCCTTCACTGTGTATTTACATTGGGCAGGGAAGTGAGAAATTTGTTTTAATTTGCTGAAAATTTGTGCTGTGTAATTTTTTAGCTTTTCTTTTTTTCCTTCATAAGCTACATTTGTTGTTTTCAATGGACATGGATTGCTTATTTATACCATGTCGTGCGAAAACAGGCCCTGAATCTGAACGATTCATTTCTTGTTGTCTGTGTGATTGTTTTGGTCATGCAAAGTGTGCTGAGATTATCGTCCGTGCTGCTGATGCAGTCCTTGACCCTTCTAAAGGTTTACGATGGTCATGTCCTGACTGCAGAAAGCGGGACATTGATTTCTACAAGCTCTTCAGGGAGACGAGAAATTGTTTCTCGGATTTGAGCAAAAATCTCGGCTCTTTGTGAGAGAAATTTGAAATAATCAAGACTAGGTTTGATAAGTGTCATTATATTGCGCAGTCATGTTCCTCTCCAGCTAACAAAGTTTCAACTCGTAGCGTAGCGTGTGGTTCATCACCTCTGAGCTCTCCTAAGTCCGTTCCGTCCGTGCAAGTTAGCGATTACTTAAAGTCTACAAAGTAAGTTAGCGTTTCTGCTACTGCTGAGTCGGTCGGTAACATAAAAGTTACAAAAAAGCCGGGAAGTCCTTCTGGCTTGAGCTATGCTCAAGTGGCAAAGGTATCTCCTCCCATTGATGTCACTCAATCTTCTCAGGCGTCATCGCCTAAAACTAATAATGATAATAATAAATCGTCCTCTCCTCCTGGCTGTTCGAGTGTGAACGCTGGTCGCCAAATTGGGCACGTCGCACAAGTCGTGCAAGTGTGGTTACCCCTTCTATATTTTCTCCAACTCATAACTCCCCATCCGTAAACCCTGCTGCTACTAGAACCGATGGCATATGCTTGAAGGCAGTTCCTCCCAGAAAGGCAATATTTGTGTCATGACTAGCACCAGATACATCTGTTGATAACATAAAAAGTTATCTGGCAGCGAAATCCCCTTCTATCAAGTTAAAGCGCATTAGTATTTTCAAATTGGTTCTTTCTCAATCTAGAGCTATCTCATCTTTTAAAATTCTAGTTCCAACTGAAAATAGTGATTTGATGTTAAATAATTAATTAAGGAATTTATACATCGAGACCGACCTCGTAATGCTAATGCAGTAGCTCTTTCCCCATAAAAAAACTAAATATTTCTTCAGGCTCATTTTCTCTCATTTATCAAAATGTTAGGGGCGTTAATTCAAAAATTCGTTCTACCTTCTTTTATTCAATGAGCACGGAGTTTTCCTGTTTGGTCTTCACTGAAACATGGTTAAAGCCGGATCTACATTCGTCGGAACTTTTCCATAATTCGTTTCAAGTATTCAGAAAGAATCGATTGTCGATTTATCGCCATTCGAGCGAAATTTCCTAATAAACACTTATATGTGACTCGCTCCTATATTCCCCCAGATTCAGATATCTCCATATATAAGAAACAGGCCGCCCTTATATGCTAAGTGGCCAAGCAATCTAAACCTACCGATATATTCGTTGCATTGGGTGACTTCATTTTGCCTCAAGTCACTTGGTGTTAGAGCGATAGTTCTGGCTGTTTGATTCCTATCTCAACATCTGGTAGAGCCGTTGTGCTCTTTGATGAATTATTTGATCATAATTTAGTTCAATACAATGATAGCCCTAATTGCTTGATCTTTGCTTTGCCAATTTTCCTGAGATTTGCGTTAACCGTTGTCTTCCGTTTAGTTTACCTGAGTATCCATATCATCCAGCATTGGGTATTTCCTTTCATTACAAGCATGTTGGTTCGTTGAACTTCTATGACATTCCAAATCCAAATTTTTCATATAAATTTTATGATTTCCATAAAACCTATGTTTCCATGCTAAAATCACATCTTTCTCATATTGTGCTTGATTTCCCAGTGGGAAGTATTGATAGCTTACTGTCGTCGTTCTACAATATATTAAATCAAGCTATTTTTGCATCCGTGCCGATCAAGCAGTCCCGTCCTCGAAGCAAGTGTCCCCCGTGGTTTAATAAAACAATTAAATATTACAAGAATAGGAATAACAAGTCTTTCAAAAAATTTTCGAAAAGCGGTTCTTCTCTCGACTATTTCGCCTACTCTGTGGCAAGGTATAAATTTAATTCCTTCAACCGCCAGTACTGTTGCAGATACCTTCAGTTTGTTAAATCCTCCTTGTTTGCTAATCCTAAATACTTTTTTAAGTTCGTTAATTCCAAAAGAAAAATCTCCATAAATCCCTCGCATAATTTTGAAACCTAAAATCCCTTTGCGGAATGCTTCCGACAGAACTTTTCAACTGCCAATTTGATTTATCAGCAAACTATCCATATCCGATTTCTAATTTGATTTCAATTCCTAACTTTGTTATATTTGAAAATGACGTTTTTGTAAGTTTGAGCTCTCTAAAATATAATTGTTTGCCTGAACCCGATGGAATCCCCTCGTGTGTACTGCTATCTTGTGCTGACGAGCTATGTGGTGTTATCTCAAAGATTTTTAAGAAGTCCTTGATTTTAGATTTTTTCCCTTTGTGTTGGAAGACTTGTTTTCTTATTCCTATTCACAAAAGTGGTAGTAGGCAACTTGTAGAGAACTACAGAGGCATTGCCAAGTTGAGTGTCTTGCCTAAACTATTCGAGCGAATTGTTGCCTAGCATATAGCCTTTTCCAAAGGGAAGATCTGCGGTCACCAATTTGTTAGAGTTTACTTCTCATGTTTTCAAGGCTTTTTATAGTGTCTCTCGCACTGATGTCATATACACTGACTTTAGCATAGCGTTTTTTGTTTAACCATAGACTACTGATCTTTCAACTTCAAGCCTCTGGCTTACCTTTCTGCTTAGTGGAATGGTTAAGCTCTTATCTGCATGGTAGATCATTCAGGGTTTTGTTTAATCTCATTACCTCGGATGAATTCCCCGTGATGTCCGGCGTACGTCAAAGTAGCCACTTAGGACCCATTTTATTTAATTTATACATCAATGATTTGCCCTCCGTGATTAAATTCAGCGAGATCTTAATGTATACTAATGATGTAAAACTGGTCTCGTCCTTTTCCGTAGAATCGCAATCACATCATCTTCAAAGAGATTTGAATAATTTGGTTGCATGGTGCTCTTTCAATCTTCTGAAAGTAAATCTAAATAAATGTAAGAAGCTTTCTTTCTCAAGAAGGAAGTCATTCATTACTCAGTATTTCATTGATTCGCACAAGTTGGAGGACATCGATTCGTTTACAGATTTAGGCGTTCTATTTGATTATATGTTACGTTTCAATTTGCATATTGAGCTTTCGTTAAGCAAAGCTAGGTCCGCGCTTGGTTTTATAAAAAGGTGGTCCAAAAAGCTTGATGATCCTTGTATTACAAAAAGGCTTTACATGTGTTTGGTTAGACTAGCACTCAAGTGTACCTCTGTTGCGTGGTCTCCTTCATATAGGTGCTAAGTAGATTCAACTGAATCTGTTCAAAAGCAATTCTTGCTGTTTGCCCTTAGGAATTTGGGTTGGGACCCGATTGCCCCTCTTCCACCCTATGACAATAGGTTGCTTCTGTCATCCTTACCGTCACTGGAGAAACGTAGATTTGTTCTTGGGGTTTTCTTCGTAATCAAATTAATAAATGGTACAATTGACTCGCCCGCATTACTTCGTGGCATAGGCTTTAATGTCCCTAACTGTTTCTCTAGGCACTTTATCCTGATAAAGCTTAGTCAATGCAAATATAATTACGAACTGTTTAACCCGCTCAGAGTTGTTTGAAGGAATGTAAATGACGTCTATCACTTATTCTCATTAACGGACTCTTTAAAGTCCATTAAAGCGACATTGCTTAATACGCGTGATTTACCTATGTCGTACTTGAACTAACTTTTAACCTTAAAAAGTCATTATGAGTCGAAAATTAATTGTTCTTAACTATTATCGGTTTCCAAGCTTATGCATGCTTGCGATGGCTTAGGGGTTCACTTGGAATTTGGTCCTGTGCCGGTTGTGGGTGTGGCTCTATACTAGTTGTGTACATGTTTTTTTATTTTTTTTCTTTTTTTTTCCTTCTTATTTGTTTTATTGTACTTATACTAAGTTTTAATATTAATTAATTTAAGATTTACTTTAAGAGTCAATTCAACTCGACTGCAAATTTGTTTTAGTTGAGTTTCTTGTATAAGTGGAATAAATAAATAAATAAATAAA